TCACACGTATACCGATCGCTAGATCAGGTTGACAGTCCGAGACATGTCAAAAAAGAGAGAGAGAGAGAGAGAGAGCTAGATAGGTATACAGATATAGATAGATGAGATTGATAGATTAGACTGACAGGTCGGCAAAAGAGAGAGAGAGAGAGATAGTCAGATCAAAAGATGGGTACATAGACAGATAGATAGATAAGTAGATAGGTTGAGAGATAGGTCAAACATAGATGGATAGACAGATAGATAGGTAGATAGGTAGATAGGAGAGATAGGTAGGTAGGTAGAAAGAAGATGGAAGCCAGAGAGACAGATTCAATTAGGTTGGATGAGGTTAGACTTGATAGATAGATTAGCTTACGTAGGTTAGATTAGATGAGGCCGATAGATAGGAGAGATACATTAAAGGAGTTCTGACAAGAATCAATCAGCATGACCTAGATAGGCAGGAAGGTAGAGAGCAGGAAGGTAGAGAAATAGATAGATAGGTGGATAGAATGCGTAGATGGACAGACGGATGGGCTGTCAGACCGGTAGATAGGCAGATAAATAGATGGTGGGGCTTTAGACAAATTTCGGCAAATGGTTTCGCGGGGGCCTTCCATTGAACCGCCGTAAATGTTTAAGCTCATTGAACCGTATCAGTCGTTCCGTTATCCAAGCTTCCGGGTATGGTGTGCGTGTAGCGAGCCCCGGACTCGGAGCGAGCCCATGAAAGTCCTTGGGGCTTTACCTCGCTCCAATGTCAAATCAGGGACCCCCAAAATCGTGCTCTTTCTGACTGGCGGAGTGGATGTGCCCTCATGAAAAAGCAAAAAAACGTTTCAGGTTCTGGAAGTATATAGTTTCCAGCTGCATCCTTTGCCTAGGAACGCCCGGAGAAGTTCAAGAGGGCGAAGGCGAGGGCTTGGTCATTCAACCCCGAAAGTGCCGAGCCACCGATTCAGAGGCAAGCCAGAAGCTCGGTTCCACTTGTGAACACGATTCCCTTACAAAACAAGGGAAAATGCAAACAAGTCGGGAAAATATCACTCCCCTTTTGGTGTCAGCCGGCCTCCCCTTAAAGGAAAATGATTCATGGGGCCCATTCCCCTGAAAAGCAAGTTATCCCCATCTCTTGGCAGGAGTTCATGAAGAAGACAGCCTGTACGCCGCTGGGCAAGAATGACCGCTGGCGTGCAAGTTGGGTCTGTTTGTAAGGATATTGTCGACCCTGGAATAACGGAATAATCTCTGCTTGATTTATTGGTGGCCCATTGTAAAGGGAGAACCTTCGTTTTTGTTGGAGGGAACACAGGTTGATTGCTTTGGGGTCAACTTTGCCCCTTTTTTGGGGCTGTGTTTAAAGGAAGCCCCCCCTTCTTTGGAGACAACGCCGGTTTTGGCTGGAACCGTATGGGGATGAGCAGGGTCCAAGTTGGATTGTCAGAAGGAAGAGGGCGTCATACAATCAAGAGCACGACGGTCCGGCGGCAGGTTTGGAAAGTATCAAAATCTGGAAGACATTCTGCAAAACCACCGAACATGCTTTCCCGCAACCGTATAAACACCTAATTGGTTCACCAACACTGTTGTGGCTTTCTTCAATGGGGCCCAGGGTCTGGTTGTCTAAGCAAATTTTGGGTTTCGCAACTGCAAGCGTTCCCATAGAGACCCAGCTCTTAGCCCAGGGATGAAAATGACGACTGGCTGACTCTCCGGACCACGCCCAAAGAGCTAGGCTGGCGAGCCGCGAGCCGTCAGTCCGGGGCAAGCAATGCGGTTGCGATATTGTGAACGCATGTGAGCAAGGCCCGCATGCCAAGCAGGTTCCCACTGAATGAAAATTGTCTCGAAGCTAGCCCAACCTCCACAGGGCTTCTTCCCTTTTATTTACTTTTCAGCAGCCCTTGCGGGTTCCCGAATGTTAGACAGGCCAAAAGTTGGCTGAAGCTATTGAGCTTTAGTTCATATTGGAAGGACGTGCGGGGACAATCCTACTTAATCATGACGGAGTTGGAATACCCAAATAGATGAACCATGCGCAGCATGTGCAACCGGGTGCTAAATTGCCAGATTCGTCAACTCGTCGACTGTCTCCAAAAAAACAAAGGTGAGGGATAAATACTCGCTACAAGTTGACAGGTGATCCATTGCCATGTTCAAGCACGTGGCCTTTCGGCCTTTTAACACCAATCATTTATGGTCAAGCCACAGGGACGATCCAACTGTCCAAGGAAAACCACCGGAGTTGACAGTTCTACTCAAGTGGTCTCTTCGCGGAAGGAGTGGCTTTCCCTCGGCTTCCCCCTTCCTTCAACCCACTTCCTGAGTGGATTGACCAAGTCTGAACTGTTCGAAATTCGAAACCACTAGAACAATCTTCCCACAAAATATCAAGTCCAGGAACTTATCCACAAAAAGGAACACGCCGGGTTTTTGGCCATATGAAAAACATGAGCTCGGAGCAGCCCTCATGGCCGGTTTGGCCACATTGACCAACAGACAATGCAGGGGCCATGGTGGACTGGCAAGGGCAGGGCCGAGGGCCTCCTTTTCATCGCTCGGAAAGGGCGGCCAAGAGGAACTCCCTCCATGTTGGAGGTGTCCTATTTAATGTTGAGACCAACTTACTGCTTTTGAAAATGGGGTTCTGTGCAGAATCAAAACCGATGTGGTTGGTCCTCGAAGCTTGAGCTCAGCTGTCCTTTGGAGACTAAGTCCTGCGATTGAATCTCGTCAAAGGTCGAGTTTCTTGCGGAAAAGCCATGAGTCTCAGGGTTGCTCGCCCAAGACTTGAAGTCGAGCCCATAAACATGGCGCCAAATGTAGTTGTCATTTGGCTGTTCGCCTGGATGAATCAGTTTTGTCAGAAATGCATGTCCGTCAAAGCTTGGACTCATGACTGGCATCCGTCCGCTGCATTCCCCTAAGCCATCAAATGACGTGAAAAAGGTAACGCTCACGGCACGGCGCCGATGCTCGCAGAACAACTGGTCGGCAGGTCAGTATGGAGTCGGTGTTCAGCTCTACTTCGAATACCTGGCAGGCAAGTTGGCATCTATATGGGATTGAATCTTGATAGAAACATTTAGGTGGAGATTCATGTGCACCAACCACTTGTAGGGTGGTTCCCGATCGAAATTCATAGCCATATTGACATTGCTGGGTGCCAAACAACGCCCATCGGTTATCCCAAAAGGAACCGAAAAGGAATTGTTTTGATCAGTCTTGTAGACCCCGTACTTGCAGTAGCAATCCAGATTGGCAATGGTGAATGTCCATCGTCCACGCAAACGAAACAACTTCGGAGATTCTCACCAAATCACCGCAAAAATGGAGTTTTCACCCAAATCTCCAATGTAAGTTGGGGAGACATGATGCAGGTGTTTCACTGACAAGAATGCCATGACGAAGTAGTCATGAGCAGCACGCATGCTTTGCAAGCAAGGCTGCAGATTTCAGTTGCTTCTCACAGAAGCGGGCAGACACTCAATCCCGCCATTTCTTGATCTGTGACAAAGTTGCTCGATGTACGCATTGTGTTCGATCCAAGTCTCGCTCCTCACCATCCAATCTGCCCATAAAGCAGAGCTCGGAAGTAGTGATACAAAGCACACATCAGCCACTTGACAAAGAATCCGCATGGTTTTATGATTGGTGCGTTGCTTCGGAAGCGGCGCATGGTTGTACCTATGCCTTGCCACAAAGCAGGACTCTGCCGCCAGAATGGTCTGAGTCAAGTGCAAAGAGAACCGCAAGAAACCAGTTGATTCCATGGTAAATGGGGCGCCTACTAATCGAGCAGGGGTTGATCGATGATCCAAATGTCAAAAGCCCTGCCATGTGTTTGGAGCAACCTGCAAGAGCCGATCTTTGCGCAGACATGGGCCTACTTTTCGTCGTCTTGTTCCTCCTGACGTTGCCATTGCTGCCACAACCTCAGAGTCTTTGGCGAGTTGGTCGGTCGGCGGGTCAGTTGCTCGCTCGATCGCTTGCTTGGTTGCTTGGTTGATTGGTTGGAAGACACGACTCCAGGCGGTGCAGGCAAGGTGGAGGATGGTCGGTCCCTTATGCCCCCCTCCCCGCAATTGCCTCACGGGAAGCAAGCCAAAAAAAACGGCACAGCCAGAGCCCAATTTTATAACTCCCAGACACCGTGCTTCCTCCAAAAAGACCGCGCCTTCGAACAGATCATCCCTGCAGAAATGTTGTTTAAAGACAAATTTGAATCGCAAGGACCCATGCTCAAAAAACAGAGGCACATGTGCAGAGAGGTGGACGAAACTATTGGAGGCAAGTGAACTTGCACACAGTGTGGAAGTACAAACTTGTGTACCTCTTGTTGCAAACGATGCACTGTCGAATGGCAGGCTTTGGGTTGTAATTTGATTGATGTGCCCTAGCGAGAGGAACCCCGCACCTGACCAGCAAGTCCCTATCAAGGATCAAGGTGTTCCAGCTACTTGCGTGAAAGGATATGTCAAGGAGTTGGGCAGTCTTGGTGTGTTGGACCCCCCACGGAGTCCGAGGTTTTTTTTTCAGGGCCCAAGGGTGGAGTTTGGGTTTCCTAGTCTGTTGTTCTTTGGGGGATGCAAGCATGGTTTTAGGGTTCCCTAGGTTTTGGGTTCCAGAGGTTGTGTGTACGTGTTATTTGTTCAGCTATTTTCTATGTTGAGTTTCTGTTTGATGGTGTGCAGGACCTTTACCCAGGATTGACAAGACAGGTGCCCCATGTTAGAGAAAATCCAGATCTTTTTTGGGGTGATGTATTAAATAAACGGCTGGTTCGTGAATCCGGGGTTAAGTTGTCCAGTCGCTTGCACTCTTTTTTACCTGCAAGTGTTGGTTGGGGTTCCCGCTTGAACATTGACAAGGGTGACCCCTCACGGGGGCAGAGTAAGATATACTGACAAACAAGCGTGGAAGTGAACAGTCAGGTTTTGGATGAACAGGTACCATAGGTTTTATTTTAGCTTAGTTGGTCACGGTTGCGCTGGTCGCCTGGTATCAAGCACTGTTTTCGTTACTTTTCTTCTCAAGTGCTACTTTTCGCCCTATCGACTCAGCGAAACCGTGTCCAACTGGGGGTGGGGTGGGGGGTGGGGTGGATGATTACCTTCGGGTCCCTGCGATTCTTTTCACGGCTCGGTTGGGGGTGTTTGCTGACCCCAGTGGCTTGTTGAATTGTGTCAGCAAACCTGGTGTTTCTGGCATTCATTCTGATGGTGCATTGTGTTGGCCAACAGCAGCTCGCATCCTGAAAGTGAAGAACTTTCATCAGGTGAGCCACCAACGAAAATAATTATGTAGACACGTAGATGATGTCAGAAGTCTCAAGTTGTCCAAGGCTCATGGAACTCAATCGGTTGATCGTGAATGGCAGTCATTGAAATCTTTCTTGCCTCCGCAGCTCCACCGCAAATGTTGGTGTGACAATAATTGGGATGTTGTCGCGCAATTTGCCAAACGAAGTAGTTTTGCATGTTGATGCCTGCCACGCTGCCAGCGAAATGAGCAAACACCCAATGTTTTTGACAGTGACCTCTCCAAAAACACCAGGCGACTAGCGCAACTGTGACCGCTTAGTTGACATCAAAAACAATTGGTTAAACATGGATTGCGCTGGTGTCAGCTTGGCTCTATATAATTATATAATGACTACCAGCGGCGTCTTGCCCGTCTTTGAGTGCCAAGTATTGGTGGGATTTGGGGGGGGGGTGGGGGGCGGAAGCATCTGTCAGGTACTTCTCTCTGGGAGGTCCAGATCTCAGAGGGTTCCTAAAGGGTAAGCCGAAAAGTCTCAAAGGCTTTGGCTGTGTTTGAGCCCCCACATCCATCACCTAGCCTGGCTCATAGCTTTGCACGAGGCTTCCCCGGATTGGTGGCTAGATTAGACGGGAAGTCGAGTTGGGGAGTCTATTCTTATAAGCCTTGGCCTGAAGCCATGGACAGAGACCTCCATAAACTGCGATGAGAGAGTAAAGCTTCCACTCCTTAGTGTAGTAAGGAGTGTAGTGAGGTCAGTATGGGATTGAATCCAAAGGAAATCGATCACTTTGAGGGTTCCCAAACCCCTTAACCGAAGCCTGCGAGTTTCTGGGACCCTGCCGCTCTGAGCTTGAGGGTCCCTACAGACCTGAGGAACCGTCCTGAACGACTTCCCAGAGCTTTCCGGGCAGAGCTTTGCCTACAAGCCGGGCGCTTGGGTCCGTTTCGGTTACGTTTGAATGATTAGAACATGGGGAGGGATGAGGGGTGTTGTTCGAGGGTTTGCGCAGTGTTGGGGGCCGTTTGGATTGTAGTGGCATTCTTGGCTGTGTTGGCTGCGTTCGCATCAGGGCTGCAAGATAGCGTCTTTGCATCAATGTCTATCTCAAGTAAATAAAAGTATACAGTTTTCCAAGAGCAGCAGTTGACGGTCTTCATGATTCAATGATGGATCTGAATCTGATATATAAACATATATACATAGATATATATTATTGTAAACGCGAGCAGAGCTGGTAAGTGGCGATTCGGGCATGGACAGGTTCTGGCGTCGTTGGACCAATTGATGTCATGAGCCCGCAGGAATCCCCGAGGCAAGGGCAAGGCGATGAGTCATGGAGCCAGCAGACAGGGCGAGCTGGGCTGGGCCTTGCTTGGGTTGGTTGGTGCAGGGCCTGGGCTTGGGTGGTTGCTGGTTGGGCTCGGCCTAAGGCGAGTCTCAGACGCTGGGCTGGGCCCGAGGCTAGTCTCAATGTGAGTTTTTTCAGACACGCGAGCCTTGCTTGGATGGGTTGCTGGTTGGGCTGGGCTGCGCGGCTAGTCTCAGAAACGTCAGACAAGCCAGCAGGAGGTCATGCTTCTCGGGACCGAAAGACTATTTTTTCGTGAGTTTTGCCATTCTCAGTGTATTTGCGGAAACGCGTTGAGAGTTTACTTGGGTTTTCATATTCACTCCAACTGGCGTCGCGTATGCAGAAAAATGGTTACAATGTCTTCACAGTCCCGCGTAGATCAGCCTGCGTTGCGTGGCCAAAGCTTGAAGCCTGAACTTGCACAGCCCAAAGGCCCAACGCAGCGCCTCAACAGCTTACATCAACTGCTTTGCAGGAGCAGCTCTGCGTAGCTACATCCCCCGGGGTAAAAACTGGTTGGCTCCCCTTCTTCCCTTTCCACTGCTTGCTCTTTCGATGTAATTTTTTCTTTCCCTCGGACGCGCCGCATTGTCGCTGACTTTCTTCATCACCCGCTGTCTTGACCAGCGCCGTTGCCCGACTTGCAGGGCAATGGGCCGCTCTGATCTCGAGCTTTACATTTGCAGACCACGTAGCCATGGTGAACCCCCACGTTTTGGGATTCGTCCGAACCTGGCGTTTCACGTTCTGCGTTTGGGGGCTACTAACCCGACGCTGCAGCACAGAAGCTTTGTGGTTTGATATGAATTGTTTTGCCCCATGCATGATTCAAGCTTCCACGGGCCCTTCCGCACTTTTGCTACGGGCCAAACAAGGTTCCTTCTACGGACTTCCGTGGTACATGCTTTCGTCATTTGCTTCTGCGCCCCTTCTGCAAGTTGAAAGGGCATAAGAATCAACGCTCAGATGCGCTACCGACAGAACCTTGACAACCAAGGAATACCGACAAATGTCTGACATCATAAACCTCATTTGAACAGACAGACCGCAACAGACTTGTATCTTAAGGATGTCCTGCTGTAGATGGACAAAGTCCTGCACCACTTAGAATGAATGAAACTAGCCATCACTCCCAAGTTTTAAATGGTGCAAAGTGGATCTTGTACTTGCCTTTTCGCATTGGTTTAAATGGGAAACCCATCGAAACCATAATTCTTGGGACCCTGTAGCCCCTATTTTGATTCACGCCCACATGGGTTTTCACGGCCCACGGTAGCTTTTTGCTCCCCTCTGTAGGGCGAATTGATGTGCGAGGCTCATGGCCGCATTCTCCCCGGCCAACTTGGGGCTGGGACCTCAGCGCGGGTCGGGGTATACTGGGTGCGTGCTCTGAGGGTACTGTACCCTTTTCACCTTCGTTGACGCCAGAAGGAACACCGCAATCTTTGGAGGTCGAGTCCACAAAATGGAGCCGAAAGACGACATCATGCTCTTCCCAGAATCATGCAAATGGTTCTTCTGCCAAAAACGGACGTACACACTACGGGGGCAAGCATCTCCTGCCAACTTCTCACCAGCTAACTGTTCGGGTTTTACATCAGTAGTATCCTGCCACCTGACGGGGGGTCCCTCCAAGAGGAAAGTGATCTTCCAGACGCCCTCCCACAGGTGCCATGTTAGTGGGAGGGAGGGTAGCTGGCAAATTCAGCAATACAGCATCATTCGAGAAGTTGGCAAATAAATGTAAGCATAGTCAAGCAACACCCGAACAGTTTGTCTTGTGTCGCAGGATAGTGGGAAACAGCGTAACTATTTTTTGGATGTTACTTCACTACCCTAAGAACGCAGTTTTTTTTCTTTTTCTTCTGTTCTACCTTCTCTTCATTTGTCTTAGTTATTGTCTTTTCTGCAGCGGGCCCGACGCGGCCGCGAGCCATCGAAACGCACCCCTCTGCGGGGGTCGGGTGGGTGGATGTGCAAAACGTCGCGCGCTTGGCCACTTCTTCTCCCGCGGGGATCCAGCGGGGCCGCGGCTTTTTCATGGCCTGAGGGGTTGCCCTGCTGTGGCTCTGAGCTCAGGACCTGTGGTGAAGGAGCTGAGGCGCGGGATTTGGGTCGAGGGCGTGTTTTCATGCGAACTGAAGCTGTTCAAAGGCAATGCTCATTCCTTGCCTTGGGTTAAAGAGGTCCCCTTTGTAGTGGTTTTCCAAAAAGGGTTGTGGATTGGGATGGGCTAAGGTCAACACTCCATTTTGAACAATTCCGGTTAATGCTTTGTCCCCAACCGACCAGCCAACCAGCCAAAAAACAAAAGACACGAGGGAAAACCAAGTCAGCGTATTAATGAGGGGGTACTCCCCAAAGTCCCATGAGGGAAGCTAGTACTCATATTGTGCCCCTATGATCATGAACTTTAGTTCGGTCCTGTCGCATCCACAATCCCATTTAAATCATTTAAGTTTGCCCCTTTACATACCCATCTATATACCACTTGGATAACCGAGCCATAAAGTCCTAAAGGCGTGCTGTTGCTCATACCAAGTTATCTCCCCAAACCGGGGATTTAGAAAGTGGGGGCACCACGGGGTATCCACAAGATTGAGCAAGCTGGTAGTTGCACACTTAGAAACAGGATATCAACCATTCCAAGGAGCTCTGGCATTGACACACCATGAGACACACACAGCTACTTTTAGCAAATGACTATCAGGTGCCTCACACAAGTGGTCTGCTCTGAACTCGAGTACTGTCCTCTCAATTGTCACAAGCCCTCGAGACACGTATCAAGCATTTGGACTGTCTACTACAGTACTTCCACTACATGAAACTGGGCGACGCCAACATTGGCTGAAATTGATCGAACTTGACCACACAAAATATACTAGCGCTTGTCGCAGTATGACAATGCAATTGAGGGGTAGAGAATATGAGCCTGTCTCGAAATCAAGGAACCACTTGTTGGACGGGAACCAATCGGAAGATACATTTGGGTGTCACGCCTTTCAAGGGGCGTTCCCTTTGGCATCGCGGGGGGGACCTTTATGGGGTCTCAAAGGGCCACCTTTTTGTCACCATGCCCAGTGCAGCACCCCGAGCTTTCCGGCTTGCAGTCACAGTGCGCCCCGCTTCAGGACTGCCTGACCGACCAAGCGCTGACCGAACGTAAGGCATCGGCGGTCATGGGGGATGGTCCCAGCCCAAACCGAATTTGCGCGCAGATTCAACCATCCCGCATGCTTTCAAAATTCTAAGTACGCTTTAAGGGGCCACCTGAAAATCGCCTATGACCTGAATACTTCAAGGAAGAACGTTTGCCGCTGGGTAGCATGTGGCAGTTTGATCAGATTTAAGGTTGGATTTGTGCAGCAGGTGCGGCACGGCAAGTGTTTACCCGGTTTTGTTGTATTTTGCACGTGTGAAATTTGACCGGTCTGGACGTGTTCTCGCACTTGGATTCTAGCGAGAAAGGGTGTGTGTGTGTGTGCTGGGCCAACTCAAGAGGGAAACCTTTATATCATGGCATTGTTTTGGGGTTGATGGATCTAGGGAAACCACACGTCCTGCCAACATTGTTTGGTGAACAGATTTGGACAGGCTACTTTTCATGAAACTGCAGACTTGCGCACATGATAGGGCCACTTGAGGGCTGAAGATCCAACCGTCTGGCGCTTATGACCAGCAATAGCTGGTCTCCTGTGACACGAGAGGGCAATTATCTTGCTGGCCATTTGGCTGTGGGTCAAAACCAATGGTACCATACTGGGGTAGGTGCACCACCCAGTTTAGAACCTATTGTAGCGGGGATTGGGATGTTCACCGGGTGTACGGGATTTTGACCCATGAGACAATTGTTTGGAGTTTCTTATGCCGTGTGACTTATCCAGAAGCAAACAATACACAAACATATGGGTGTCAAGTTTAATGACACTTTGGTGGACATCATTTTGGTGGGATTTGTCTCCACCAGACACCTTTGAGGTGGGTCCCCATGTAATAGCCATGTAAACAGTCGTTTCCCATTTATGTATGCATACATATCAATACACCTGATGGTTGTGGACTGGGGCAAGTCTATCATCATGTTCCTGGACAAGCCCTGAAATTGAGAAAAATGTCCATGGACTTTCCTCCATAGATGCCTTGAGATCCAGAAACGAGCCAAGCGGGATAGTGGGCACCGTTCCTGGCTATGCTCAGGATAGGCTGAGGATCGACCCCGAAGAAGGCGTTATTGTTGGGTTCAATAGGTGATAGCCGCCCATTCCCAGGCGTCATCCTGTCAGTTTTCGGGAAGCAGCAGAAACCAAGGGACCCATAGGTATCTAAGGGGAAGTCGTTCAGCCGCAATGTGTTTTAAGAAGAGCCACCCATCATCACCCAACTCAATGTGTGTGTGTGCTGCCCAACCCTGTTTTACAATTTGGCAAGTTAGCATTTTGCGGGTTGCAGGGGAAACGCAGTAATCACTCTATGAACCCGCACTACAAAACAGGGTTCGGCAGTGGTGGTTTGCCTATCACCTTATTTGGGATGAGCTATCCTGCAGCCCAAACAGCCAAAATGGTTGGGGGTTAAAGATTCAGGTTTGGTATGTTTCGACCAGTTACAATATGGTTCCTCCCCTTAAGGGTTCATGGGTCGCTTCAACTCGGTTGGTCAGGCCTTGAAGCGCATGTTTGAATCAGCAACACGGACCATGTGAGCCAAGCTCATGTGAGCTGAATGTGGGTTGCGGGAAATGTTCAACCACATCTGTTTTTTGCGCATGAAGTCTCACTTTAAGTTTCGCTGAATGCGGGCCGTCAACACTATGACGATTGGTGGGGCAAAAGCTGACACGGATTTACTTGGCCGTGAGCTTCTGATGGGGTTTTGGGTTGTAACTCGCCAGGTGTTTCCGGGTTCGGAACAAAAGGTCCGCGATGTGTGCGCCTCAAGCACTGCCGCGAGGAAGGATGGCTGTTGGAATGCGCTGGGTCCATTGAGGTACACCTTCACTGAAACAAACCAAAAATACAAACATGCAAGAATGGTACGAATCGAATCACCGAAACTGTTGCAGAAAGGAATTGCTGTTTTTGCTTGCATTCCTAGCCGAACCATAGCTTGTGTGAGTACAGTGTGGGCAGATTCCCAAGTTCAAGTACCTCGAAAGTCTTGATCATGTGGGCCCGACTCAGACTTGTTGAAGTTTCTGCCGCTTCATGTTGGCTATTGTTTACCATGGGGAGTCCAACTTGGGCAAGTCGCAGCCGCTTGCCTCGCTGCCTCATAGTTGGGATTCGGAATTGAGCGTTTTGAATGGGGTTGATTGAAATCAGGTTTGGGGTCGTTTGCGCGCCGTTGGGATTTGGCGCGGGTGGGCTCCAGTCCAACGTCACATACAGTTATTTTCGGCTTTGCTGGGGCTTGCATGCCATAGTGGTAGGGACACTGCCGCATGATGTGTTCCATGCGGGATAACTTCATGGTGGTACGGACGCTGGCACATGATGTTCGATGCCTTCCCAACGTTAATTACAAGCTTATTTTGCTGGGACTTGCGTTCCCTGGAGGCAAGGACACTGGTGCATGAGGGGTTTTGTGTGACTTGGCTCCTTTTCAACTTGACAGACACTTTTTGTGATGTTACCTGGGACTTGTGTTTCATGCATCTTTTGCTCATATCGGGCAAACTGGCGTCAAAATGGTGAAACATTGTTGCATACTGCATTCCATGGTGTTTGCCTCCTTTCCAAGGCGGAACAACTATGCGTTTTCTGTGGCAGTGACTTGCGTTTCATAGTGTTGGGCAACTGGCGGGGCTGCGTCAATTACATGCGGGGACCTTGCCACACATATGTGGCGGTAACGTCGACACTTTTGTGTAGGGTATCCAGCCAAATGTGGCCGGCAGGCAGGGATGAAGCTACAAGCAGTCATGGAGGCTTAAATCTTCCCCGCGTCGTTTTGTTCGTGACTGCACGGTGGAGAGATTTGTCACTGAGCCCTTTCGCTTAGCAAGACACGTGTTCTTGGCTGCCTCAGGAAGAATGGGATCCAGCTGTGTCCTCACCCTCCTCGACCATTCCATTCACAGCCTGAAAGAAATATGAATGCGTGGGCTTTTGCGAAATGTAGGTTGGTGTGGGCCGCGGTGTGGAGACTCAAGCGTCAGCTCTCTATTTGAAGCTGTGCCATCTATTTGCCAGCATTGCAGACAATCCCGAAACTTTTTGAAAGTATTCTTGAGCTCCCTTTAATTCTCCAGGGGCCCGAGGTGAGCTCGACACCGATTTTGTTTGCCTGACCCCAGTGCTGTGCCTTTGTCGGTTGAGGTCACTCCGGCGCTTGGCATTCTCGACTTTGTGCAGATGCTGCTGGGGCTGGGCTTCATTTTTTGGTCGAGCACTCAGCATCCTGCTCGCACCTGGCAAGTTGATCGTGTTCACGGATTCTACTCCCTTTCTTGATTTGAAAGTGTCAATGCAGTGAGGACTTAGATAAAACTTTGAACAGTTTGGTAGGACCAAGCTGGCTCAGCGCTTGGTGACATGTTTCTTTGCTCTTTGCTCGTTACACAAATGCTTGTGGCAGAACAACTTCAATTCCCAGGCTTAGGGGTGAACATGAACCAACGGGACGGGATGCCCTTGTAAAACGGCCCTTGGGTTCCCAAGTCAGGTGACCCGAATAAACGGGGGTTCAGCTTGCACCAAAGGATGCGTCCGATCGAACCAACTTCATTTGTTATGATCCCGTTTGGGTCGCCCAACTTGGTGCAGCGTGCGGAAAGTTGGTGCTTGGGACCCGCTCGGATTTGAAACTTTGCGACAAGCCTGGAGCTCAGCGCATCACTTGGCTTTGAGGGTTGACGTGGTTTCATCAGGAACTCAAGTCAACACCACACAAAGCGGGTTCCGCCACTTCGGGTTGTCTTTCAGATTTACCAAAGCAAACAAGTCCCCTTTTTTGCCCCGTCATGCCCTGCCTGTCCTTAGTTGCTTTGAGTGCCGCGTTTTTTCTCTCGCCTTTTCTGGGTTGAACACGTTCATGGCTCTTTCATGGTGCTTCTCAAAATAGAGCACCCCTGAAATGGCCTGTTTCCTGGTGGTTCCCCTAAACCATCCAACATTGAGAACACCCCCTTTGGCCGTGGTTTCAACCGCCCATTTCACTGAGGTTCCGCATCTACAAGATCCCCCGAGCAGTGCGGATCCAGGATGAGGCAGGGACGAAGCGATACGTCTCTTCGGTTTAGGAGGATTTGGGTTGAAATGGTGTTTGTCTTCATGCATGGTTTCTGTTAGGAGGGGTGATGCTGATAGAAGCAGGTACTCCTGCGCAAAGAGTACCAAGTAAGAAGCATTAACATTGCTTCCGATGCGGTGTTGGGTTCTAATTTGGGTGTGTTTGGAAAGTAGTTGGGCCCGTTTTTGTGGTTTCCTTTTTGTGGCAGTTTCAACATCCGAAAGGGTTCACACTTCTTTTCGGACAACCCCAACGTTTCAAACTATAGTGGCAGAAAATGCATTTTGGCTACTCCAACTGGGGTGGCACAAGGCTCCGAACCTTTTTGACAGACGACTTGAAGGATGAAAAGCTAGTTTGTGCAAAATGGCCTGGCCATACATGATCACTGCGTTTGTCATCCCAATGCTGACCCTTGGCGTCAGAGGGCATGTGCTTGGATTCTCATTTGCTGTTTCTTTTGCCTTTTACCTCTGGAAAGTTGGGTGTGTTCCCACAAGCTCGGCCAAAGACAGTCACACTTGCCACCCGTGTTGGTGCATGTGAGTTTGAGTGCTCGGTGATCGGCAGCACACCTTGAAAGGACGGCGCGCCCAAATGATTTTCAATGAGGCATCAATGTTGCCTGGCACTAGCATCTTTTTGTTTATGGTGTTTCATGGCCCCTTGCACCGAATTCCGGCTGTACGATTGGTTCCCTAGAAACTGCAAGTAGCGAACAAGGGACACCGTGTCATGTGCAATGATTCTGTGTGTTCGTACTTGCGGCATGTAGAGAATGTGATTTCACCCTGCGAGTCACATAGAGTTAGCAGCCCCACAAGCTGCTGTGCCAAAGACCACCCAAAATGGTTGTGGGGGTGGGGTGTGTGCGAGGTCCCTAATCAAGTGTAGGAATTGGCCGTGTGTTTTGTACCCATGTGGGTATGTCTCAAAATTACTCAAAATTGGGTACCCCCCGAAATGGGTTGGTTGTCCCTCTGGCTTCCTTTGAAACATCCAAAAAAGAAACCCTGAACAGAACACCCTGTTTTGTTGGTATTTGCAGGGACAGAACGAAACCACTCACAGGGCATCCCTAGTTTGAGAGAACGCACATTAGAAACCACTTCAAGACCTTTCTCAGAGCCCAGAGCCAGGCCAACGTCACTGCCAGCGACTTCGGGATCAGAGTCTCGGGCTTGCCAAGGCCTGGAGAAGTCGACGTGGACTTGGAGTCATGACTTGTAGCTGTCCTTCTGGTGTCCATTCAAACCAACCCCAAAAAGGGTACACCCAAAAAGCAGAGCAGGGGACCCTGAAAGCGCTTTCCTTCTCGTTTAGTGTTTTTTTTTTTGGGGGGGGGAACACAGGGAACACGTACAGTTTGTTGCTAATTGGTGCGCCAATTCAACAAACGATGTAAGCAACCAACAAAAACCTGAAAGAAAACAAGCAAACAAACAAACAAAGAAACCACAAATCCCAAGAACACCAAAACACAAAGAATGTCAGCAAGAAAACCACAAGCACACTAACATATGTGAGCCGCGAAAAGTAGAAGCACAACTCCGTGATTTGCCTGTCTTTGAGGGTGTGTTTCTTGTTGTGTTGACTTTGTGTTAGTTTTCTACAGAATTTCGTGGTGTTCCTCAGGCTTCCCCTGAAAACCAACACAACCAGAGAACATCAACCATTCAAAAGTACAGCGGTTCACCCTAAGTCTTTTGGAGCTCTTCCAGCAGTCATTTTCTCGACAGTGGCATATCTCCGACTTCAATGATCTGACCATGATTCCGGAAATCAGCGGAAAATGAACCATATACGCCTGTCTGCTATGATCGCGATGCTCCCTTTGGCCCAAGGAGAGTATACGGATGACAAACACATGTTTAATCAGCACAATCTTGACTGCCAAGTGTCCACCAAAGAAGTTGCGCTACAGCATTCGGTCAGATATGGCATGTGTCAGAAATACGGATCAGATCTCTCAGATTGCCTCCCACGCAGTAGCCATAGTACGATAATGAACAATATCATAGTTTATGTTCAACAAAGTGTGCAGAACATGTTAGATATTTGAAGAGTGCAACCAACCATTTGCATGTTGGTATGGCTATCATATTGACTGTTAAACATTATTGAATGTGATATATTTTCTGAAATTGGTTTGTGAAGTTGCAATTCATGTAGCAGCAATGACACACGCACACAGACACTCACACACGCACTGATGTTGGTGTCTGTGAAACGGTTTTTGAATTTCAAGCTATTATTCATAAGTATGACTCTCAACCTGGTTGTCAAATACATGTACATGTACATGTATTAACAGAAACTATCAGAGACTAAAAGTCCGAAGGTGTTTGAATACACCATTTACATACACCTGTTTAGTTTTTATTTATTCATTCGTTTGATCGTTCATTCGTTCCTTTCTTCATTCATTCATTCATTCATTCATTCATTGATTCATTCATTAATCAATTGGATTCATTTTTTTTCGTTTGTTCGATCGTTCGTTCAATGCATGTCATTCCCTCAATTATGGCTGTCGACTATGTATTTTACTATGTCTATGGTTCAGGGCACATATGAAAGTGATTATATTTGAATGCGACAATAGGAACGCGTATGCCCGATATGTGTTAGATACGCATGTGGTGTGCTCTAGTCTGTTTTATTGTTGTCGGACAGGTTTGCCAACAAACGTGATGTTTACCTGTGTTTAAATCAATGCAACATGTAGACACGTGTCATTCTATGAGTAGAACCAAACAACAAGTTAATCATGTAAACAACATAGTTCAACTAGTCAAGTTTGACTAGCTGAGCTGGAATAGTTGAACGCTTACTAGCAAAGTAAATGCACACACAGACACCAAATTTATGAACTGGACACATACACGCACAAATGCTTAATCTGCTGCACTTTAAAAGCACAAAGAAGCGCACGCTTACAGCCCCCCGCTCTCCAACAAAGACGCCCATTGTTCAAATCAAGGGGGCCCAGATTGAAATGATTGGCTTACTTTTAGCCAAAAGGGGTACCCTTACAAAAAGTGCAACTAGGGGGAGTCTTATCGATCTGGACCAACTGTATCGACCTCACAAAGGTTGGGTTTGCGACTTCACACATGATGGTTCTCTTCTTGGGGGTTGTTCAATTTGTATATTCAATTCAGCCCGAAATATGTAGTTGTTTCCAATTCACATATCAAGCTTGTCCCAGGAAGCGGAGGAGAGCCCGGGTTTCACCGTGTAGTAGCAGACTTTGCTTTTTCACTTGTTGCCTTTTGTTTTGTTTCTCAATTTGTCCTTTTCAGCAGCAACGCGTTAACTTTCAGCAGGGGTTCTCTGAAGGTCTACAGTGTTCCGAGTCGTCAGGCTCACTGCTCGGTTGACAACCCGAGCGCCTGCCTGAAGCTGAAACGGTGTCGTCCATGTGGGTTGTAGATCCTAGAGGGAGAATTAATTAGTGACCCAGCTGGGTGCTACATGGCCCATATCGAATACTTGCCCCAAAAAGAAACCGATGTTTTCTTGTTCCATCTCTCGAAACCCTCCATATATTTGACACCCTGCAGGATTATTAACCGCTTGGGAAGGTTGTTCGGATGGTCCTTGAAACCGTTCCTTGCCAGTGTTGACACATAGCCTTTTGTAAGGAATGTAGCTGACAAAAAAAACAAAAAAAAACTGTATCCCAGGGAGTTGTGGTGCACCATACCACAACACGCCAGGAAGCTTGACAAGGATCACGAGAAGTATGCAGCTTGGCACAAGAGCTTGAGTGTGCGGCCTAACGGTGGCCCACATGGTCAGCACCGTTGCTTTGTGTTAAACTGTTTCGATAAGAGTGTTGCAGATGACCTGGTGATTGAAATCAGCGCCGGCCCATGAGGTGTTAAAGCCACCTTCCACTTTGAATGTGTGAGTGTGTGTGTGTGTGCCATGTTTCAAATTCAAAGCATCCGTTCTTGCTTACACCCATCAGAGGATACACCTTTCCAGCAGCGCCACTAATTCTTCGTTTCCTGGAGCCCCGAAACGTTGGTATTTTTCGGTCAATAGGCGTATTTGGCCTGTTTTTACCCGTAAGGTTCTTCTTTCTTATTTGCCCGTATTTGGCCGTATAAAACCCGTATTTTGTCGATAAAATATTGAAAGCAAAGCGAAGAAAACGTATTCGGCCGTATGACCATGTTTTCGGGCCAAACATAAAAAGCCTTTTGGGGCTCCAGGTTGCTATTTCCTTCTTTTCTTCTAGTTGCCTTGTTTCTTCTTTCTGTCAGACACACATGAACCAGTGGCCAGAACAAAGCCTCTCATTGTTCAGTGCATTTGGAAGCCCCGGGATACGCTCCGGTCAAACATGCGACACAAATGCCTTTGAAAACATGATCCTGGTATCACTGCAAGCAAGGGCTGAGGTCAACTTGTGCTACTTTGAAGTTTGCCACACACATAAACAAAGACACACACACACACACACGCACAAACGGACGCACACACAGACACAAACACAAGCAGACACACACACACAGAGAAACCCCAGAGACACAGACAGTCAGTCAGTCAGCCAGTCAGACTGACAGACGGACAGACCGACAGACAGACAGACAGACAGGCAGGCAGGCAGACAGGCAGACACGGAGACAGAGACACAGAGAGAGAGAGAGAGACAAAGAACACACACATGCACGTACATGTTTGTCCTCTTGCTTACTTGTTTCAGTACGTACTTACGCATACCGGCAGCCACTGACTCGCTGGTTCGGTTACTAACTCGCACGCACTTGCACACACTCACGCAGTTGCTCACACACACACACACACTTGCTCGCAGACTCACTCGTTCAAGTACCCACTCACACACTCGCTTACGAGCACTCGCGGGCACATGCGCACATATGCTCTCACACACACAGATACTATCACACGCACACGCACACCGCACACACACACACACGTGCACACCCACACGCATACGCACACATACACACGTACACACAAACACTTACTTACTTACTTACTTACATACTTACATGCTTACTTACTCACTTGCTTACTTACTTACTTACTTACTTACCCACCCACACACACACACACACAAGCACACAACCCATAAATCATCAATTCACTAACTCGCTTTTTGCCTCACTCTCTCTCTCTCTCACTCACTCACTCACTCACTCACTCACTCACTCATTTATTCACTCACTTGACTCACTCACCCACCCACCCACCCACTCACCCACTCACCCACCCACCCACCCACCCACCCGCCCGCCTGCCTTTTTACTTCCTCCCTCACTCACGCACTCACGCAAACACGTGCCCACGCACCCAAGCACACACCCACATACCCACCCCACCCACTCTACTCCGCTTCACTCTACTCCGCTCCACTCCACTCCACTTCACTCGCTCCCTCTCTCAACTTCTCACTTTCTCACTTTCTCACCTCACCCCACGCACCATCTGCACCCACGCTCTCTCGCTTTGACCGGTGTCGTCCTCCGAGGAAGACTATCTGCAAATGCACTTCGAAAGGGCCTGGCCGCCCAGGTTAAGGGCAGGGGGAGGGGAGCTTTTCCACTGCGATACAGCTACACCTTCCTTTTATGTGGAGTTGGTCATGGGAAAGGCGTGGGAGCACACAAGCGGATTCCAATCGGGGTGCCGACACAGATTCATGTTTTATGGGGAATACCCTCAGAAATGGTTGATGGACATAAACCCCCATGTAAATGCTGTCCACCGAAGAAGCCCTCATTAAAATTCACACCCATATGTTGGTTTTCCTAAACAGCCACCAGGGCATGAAATCATACTTTCCCAAGCTGAGAGGAGATCATGAACCTCACGGTTGATCCATGACGTCTAAGCGCACCAATTGAGGATGGGCATGTTTGTTGCGAGCCTTCCAAACGCGATGGGAATATGTTGTTACTGTAGCTTTCGGGACCCGTCTCTAGCGCACCCTGCTTACTTGTTGCGTTTTGAAGCTTCCCACCAGTTGCTAGCGTTCTTTCTCATGTGTTTTTCAAGGCCCTAAAAGTGTTACAACCCTTGCCGCACTCAACTTACCTTTTCCATTTTTTGCCCCGCTTGTTGTCATCCTGTTCCCTTTCAACCAGCAAAAAGTGATGCCTTTTAGGGGGCCTGAGTTTACCACAACTTTTCCTGGCAAGTCAGCCCAGCTTTCTCGCGCCAGATCCTGGCGACGGAGTGTAGCGTCAAGGACGCAACTGCGACTTAACTGCAGGGTGGGACCCTCCCCAGAGACCCCGGCTGCCTTTCGGTTTCTTGGGGACAAACCGAAAGGCAAACTGGGTGAGTCTTTCTTGAGGGGCCCTTTGGGTGGGCTTTTGCTTTTACAGGGAAACTAAAAGGAGTCTCCGATTTCAAGGCGAGATAGCCGAAAGGTCAAATGGAGGTTTGCGAAAGTCAAGTGGGGCGGACCTCCAGTGCCGCCTTGCCTTGAAAAGGAGTCCCGTCAAATGGGAACCCTGGGAACCCCTAAGGGGGTCCGTAGAAAGTTGGTGTTTGTTTTGGAGTTGGCAAAAACTAACAATTAGCTCTTTTTCATCCTATGGCCACTGAAGTTGGAGACGTCAAAACGGAGATGTAGTGGGCCTTGTTTCAATTTGAGGACACATCGACCCAGTTGAAGCACAAACGCGGGTTGGAAGCGGCGCCACAATAGTAAACTTCTGCTACGTGGATTCTCACAGACCTCAACTAGGTATCGGGGGTTTCTCTTTTCTGATGGTACACACTCTTTTGGGCTTGTGTCACAAAGGGAAACCCAAGGGAAACCTCCCGTTTGGGTCCTCCACTGTTTCTGCGGAAAGCAAACATTCGGGTCGACATAACGCTAGACTCCAATTTTGTTTGAGGGAGCCATGCCATGCAACTCACAAACCTGCGACTCAGCTCATTTGATCGCACAACTTTCCGAGTTGGACAACGGGTGGTTGATGTATCACCATGATTATCAGCTAGTTAGTAGAGTTAGCTCAACAGGTCGCCCAAGTCTACTCTCGATGATCGCTTAGCCGACACAGAACATATACAGCTAAAACGGGCTCAACTGAGGCAGGTTTTCGTGAAAGGAGCACCTTTTCCGCCCTTGCCCAGGGACAAGTGGCAGAAGTGGCACTTATCCGCGAGTACGTGCTTGGCCCAGCCACGGAACGCCTTGTGTGGGTGTGTAACAGAGGGTTCCAACTTCTTCCCTCCGCTTAAGGGAACCTCTCTCCCTGGACTTCATACAGTTTTCGAAAACAATTTTAGTGACTAACAAAAGCTCGGACTTTATTTGGCCAATCCACCAAGCAAGTGAGAATAGCAGGTGTTTCCGCTGGTCAAGAAAGTCTTCTATCTGAAGGTTGGCTTTGCTTCCCCGAATGGTTTCAGAGGGGACGCGTTCATGACTTATGACACCCGCACACCTTGTGTTTGTTGAGGGAAATAGTCAGGGCTGGATGACAGTAGATATTTAGCTTTGTTGTTCTGGCACCCTCAAAGTCTTTCGACAAATCTACGGGCCCTTTCTCAGCCTGGGTGGTTCGAAGGAAGGGTTTGACATGGTTTGATTCTTGCCTCAAAAGAAGCTTATGTTACCCTGTTGGAAAGGTCGATTTGAGGTGGTGTCCTTTGGGTGGTTTCTGAAATCGAGCACGTGACCCCTGGTTGGCCGCTGTGTCCTGAGACCCTCTCAAGACGTGCTGAACGATTCGAGTTTGTTTAGGGAAAGGGTCAGGACTTGCAACCAGTAAATCTGCTCTTGGTATTCAAAGGAATGAGCAATGTCAATGTTTGCCATGATTTGCATGAGGGGGATGACGCTGGGTACACTCACCAACTTACCATTTGGAAGTGGGGGGTTGCTCACCATGTCACTGGGGGACACAACAAAATACTGCGGCTCAAATGAAAAGCATCTCAAGACGGACATGTTTGGGCCTTGTTGAACGCCACCAAAATGAGGTCCTATGAATCTTTGTCAGGATTTGTGGGGCAAATCAGACTGAGTGAGGCCTTTGACAGCCAAAGGATGACAGCAAACTCCTCTGAGAGCACCGAACCTCTCCCTCAAAAGTCGAAGGCACTTTCCAGTATGCCATTGAACAAGGGAGCTTCCAAACATCCAGGGCCAGTCGCATTTTCTTGAGCCGCACGCATTTTTCTGGCTTGCGCGCTCGAGTCCTGCATCCATCCCGAGGACGGGTGCATTTCGAAGTTCTTGCAGCAAGGAAACCTGCTGGAGGAAATGCATGAAGCTGGCGTGGCATCCAGGCCGCAGATGTGGGCTGAGAAAAAGCGCACTGGGATGGGAATCGGATGAGGTGGATATTTGAACCCCCCCGTTTGTTGTTGAGGCTGGCTAATGGTAACGCTACCCCGACCTCCAAACCCAGAAAATTCCAACTGCCAAGAGGAACCTGATTGAAGCCTTTGCAACTGGTTGATATCGCCATCCTGGTGCTGATGATGTTTGGGCGTGTCTTTTTTGCGGCCGCGCTTTTGGTGTTTTTTTGAAGGGAAAGCGACGGGACGAGCAAACGCGAGGTTTCCATGCACCAGCCAGCTACGCATATGTGATGACATGACCTGTACATGTTTATATTATTATTCATTGGCACCTCAAGCTTATGGACGCATTCCAGCTCACTCGGGCACGTTTTCCCAACTTGTCCAGTTGAGATGCACCTAATGCACTGTTGGCCGGGTATGATGTTTGGCCCTTTGGTAGACATCAAAATGTCCACTTACCATTTTGAGGGTGTGCCCCATTAGAATTCACAGATATATGATATGAGCGTTTACAGCCAGCATGGTGGAACCAAACGCCAATGGATGTGTGGCGCTGCTCGGTCGGTTCTGCACTGAAACTGGTTGCTGGAAAGTCATCACCCTTCGTCCGTCACTGAGCACGGAAGGATGACTTGAATGTTTTCGAAGAAACCTACTGCACCTTAAGTCAAAACTCCTTCCGTGTTCATCCAGCAGCAATCTGCGAATCATGGAGTCGCCAAGCTGTGTCAACCATGTTGCAGCACTGTGCTAGCTGGCGCAGGTGGATCATGCTTGCGTTTGAGCGGTTGTGTCGCGGCATGAATTTGGATGTTTGCCTGGTGGTACCAGATATACACACACACATCCCACTAAAGCTTAGCTTTCAGCAAAGGATCCGCGGACCACTAAGTTACATCTTGCACTTGCGGATTGCGTGAAGTTGCCAGGCTGGCGAAGAAGAATGGCAAGGACAAAGATGCAGAGAAGCATGACAAGTCTCCCCGGCAGTTTGAAGCTTTCATTGAGAAGGGACCCTGTGCTGCCGTTTGGGAACCTCAGTTGTTGCCCCAGAAAGATGCCTGTTGGGGCTTGGAGCCAAGCCCCAAAGCCTATTCATAGCGTTGCTAGCTTTGCCCACCAGTTTTAGCCAAGGGTGACCCACGCCACAGTTAAAACTAGCGGGGGTACTGTTGGTGGGCGACAGTCCCTTCTCATCGCAAAGTTTTGCTTCACAGCTGCACTGTGTCGGCTATAGTGGGCGGTTGCAGTCCTCATAGCGCATAGGTTTGTGTTTTTGGGGTATCCTTCTTGGGGTTTGTTTGAAGGAAAACCACAAGGAAAGCCACTATTTGTGGGGGTACCCATATTTTGACACAAACCCAGCCTTCTAAAAATGCAGGCTGGCAGCCGTCTTCGGAATTCCGATTGAGAACACCGGTGAAGTCCTCCGTGCAATACGGCAATGCGATCACGGTTGAAACGGTCCTGCATGAAGTTTGCGCTCGGTTGTTTGGAAATTGATAAGGACCCGTAAAACTAGGTGGCTTCCATAAGATGGGTGATTTGTCTTTGGTTGCTTCCTTTAAAAGGTCATCATCCGAAGCCCAGTTGTCCGGAAGCGCCATTTGTGCATTTGCGGGTTCCCCTCCAAATGGTCAACCCACAAAAAGAAGGTCCCTTTTTTGAGCAACGCCACTTGGCAACTGGGTAAAGAAAGCCCCTGCATTTTTGGATTCCCGCCCACAGCTGGTGTAACAGCAAAGGAGGCCTGCATTTGGTCAGTCAAGTGGCACTCTTGGATGTTCGAAAGAAAACTCACTCAAGGTCCGCTTGCATAGAACTGGCCTTGGGCTTGCTTTTCTTTTGGTAACTGGTATGTGCTGTATTGGTCTTGGTTAACACTGGTGCAGGGCCAAGTCTGGAGCACTTCCTGGCAGAGAGCCTGGTTTGTTGGGCAGTTTGTTGGTTGTTTGCTTGCTTGATTGCTTGCGGGTGAGTGAGTGGGAGGGAGGGTGGGTGGGGCGGGCGGGTGGGTGGGTCAGTTGCCTGGTTGCTGGGTTGGTCGATCGGTCGTTGCTTGGAGGCCTGGTTGCTTGGTTGCTGGGTTGTTAGGTTGCTCGGAGGCTTGGTTGCTTGTTTGCTGGATTGTTTGGGTGCTTTGTCGCATGATTGCCTGGTTTTGGTCTATCAGTTGGTGGGTCTATCGGTTGGTGGGTGGGTGCCTTGTTTGGGTAACAAGCTGCGTGGTTTGCGTGGCTGCTTTGCTTCTTGATGGCTTGGTTGCTTGGTGGCCTAGTTGCCCATTTTATTGTTGGCTGAGTCGTTGGATGGTTGGGATTCGATTGTGTGGTTGTGTGGTTGCTTTGCTGGCTAGCTGGCTGGCCAGCTGGCCGGCTGGCAGGAAGACTTGTGGAAATGGATCCAGTGTTTTTTGGCGGACTTTACATGTTGCGGATAGTGCGGATGCGTGAGGATCCTACCTGTTACGTCCCTGGTTTATTCTGACATGTTTGTATGCGGGGATGCTTAGAGGGCCTCCAAGAGGCGAATCCCGCTTTAAGACAGAAGGTTCACACGTGGATCAAACCGATCCTAGTCTTTTTCCCGCCAGGAAACGGACCAAGCTGAAGGGGAAGATCCTTTCCCTCGAGGCTGCCGTGGCGGTCCGAATCCGAAGCCCTCAAGTCGCGCAGTGGGACGTCAGGAAAACCGGCTGAGTTGATTCCCTGTTCTTTTTACACCGCCATTTGCTTGTGGAAAACAGGGGCTGGGGCTAGAAGAAGAAGAAGAACAACAGACAAATCATCAGGATGAAGAAGCAACACGAAGCAGAACGAAGGAGGATAAGAAGAAGAAGAAGAAGACGATGACGAAGGTGAACAAACAACTTAGCTGTTCCCGGCCCCACAACGGTCCCATGCGTGAACATGAACCCTGAATTGCAGGTGTTGGTGGTTTGAATAGTGCAGATCCGCCTTAAGAATTGGCTTTGTTTTTTTGGGGCCAAATAGGGAAACCTTAAAAAAGACACATGCACTGGAATCTCAACACCAAGGTTCAGACTATGTAGGGAGAGGCATGGATATCCGTTGCAAACTCAATCGCGACCTCTTATTTTGGCTTGGGTTTGCGAGCGATCCCCCCCGTGCAGGTTCTTTTCTTATAGGGGTCCATGTTTGTTGGTTCAGGTCAAACCCCCGGCTGCCACATGGGAGGGGCTTTGGGTTGGTACTTGGGTGTTGCTTTCTCTATCAAAAGGAAGCCACACATTTTGGGGGTTCCCCTGTCGGAGCAGCTTCGTATCCAGAAGGCTCATTTTCAGGGAAAACTGACAGTTGGGCTGTGAATAGAAAATCGGGGGACAGAAAGAATGGGTTCAAGTCAGCCTGAAAAGGGGCCTCCAAAAAAGGGCATGATTTTGGGTTTCACCGCTGGGCTCCCAACCATAGGAAGGGTTGGGACCTGCCTTTTTGCGGATCCACCAGCAGGTTGCACAACCAAGGGAGAGAAAGGGAATCAACAGATGGGGTCTCAAAATAGCCCAAAGACATGTTCTTTTTTTTTCTCCTCTCCTTTTGGCTTTCTTGTCAATCCACTCAGAAAGGGCCCTCAACAAAAAGAAAGACACGCTGAGATCGTCTGCTCTCGAACATGTCCTAGAAACTGTGCAGGCCGAATCCACTGACTTATCCAAGCCGTTTTGCCTGAGCTCCAACTCCCTCCATGCGCGTTTTCCGCTTTGGATCGCTCTCCACAGGCCGAGATGGAGCACCAAGCAGCTGCTTGGCAGCGAGACACGAGACAGATGGTCACACAATCCACATGCCGGGCACCACTTGGTTGATGAACCCCGAATGAAGTCCACTGGTTGATGAAGCACCTGACTTTTGCGAAGTGGATCTTCTCCGTCCAAGTGTGCCAGTAACTTTGGAGTAGGTGCTCCCCACTAGAATACTAGTCAATACGAGCAATGGTCACTTCCAAATGGGTAGACATAAATCTGCCGCCAAAGGGCTCCACCAAAAAAGTCACGCCCATAAATGTTTAAGCAAGTGGCTTCCCCCTGGTCGATTCCTTCACACGACTTGGAAACCGTTAAGGACATGAAGGACGAAGACCGTGAGGCGGGCGAGAAGCGGCGTGCGCATGGCATGAATGCATTGCGGGCACCGTCGGAGTTCACTCCTCATAGGGGCTGCCTCAAAGCAAATGTGTTTTTTTTTTGTTTTGGTTGGGGGTGCCATTTTAAAGGTTGCTTTAAAGGGAAAACAACGATTTTCGGGCTCCCCTATTCTGAGACAAGCCCGAATAGCTGACAGAATTCAGAGCGGGTTGTTGGGTAACTGATCCTTGCATTTAAGTTCAAAGTCATGGCCACAAGCTTGCGGGGCCTGCTCAAGACCCTCCTGTGTTTGATTACCAGTGGTTGATTTCCCCCAAGGAGAACCCCCTGGAACTCTAATTGTTCCATGTCCTCTTAAGCAAGTAATTTCGACCGCTCTGGCCAGGTGCATCAACCTGTAGACTTGATTCGAAAGCGCCTGCGCATGGGAGGTGTGTGGAGCCTTCGTCATGTTTGAGACGGAACAACAAAAAGACGCCATTCTCAATGTGCCGGGAGCTGAGAGTGCCACGAGCCAAGCGGCTTAGCAGCTTGCCGACCTTTGGCGGGCGGTCAGTTGTCTAGATAGGTATATGTTCTTTTTACGGTTGGGTTTGCAACCATCCAAAAGCAAGAGGACCATTATTTTTTGGTGTTTTACATCCAACTGCCTCATTCCATGCTGAGCAGCATGTGGCAAGGTTTACCAGACATTGCATCTGGTGATAGACAGCTTCAGGCTTTGATTCCTGTGGGTCTTCTTTACTCCTGGGTCTTCTCAGAAGCAATGGAAGCTGATCGGGATTAGTTCTTTGGTGCAGCCTGTCCACTGGCTGAATCCTCATTCCCGATGGTGTTGGTGTGCCTTGTAATGCTGTCCCACCCTTGAAATTTTGGATCAGGATTAGGCATCCTCCACATGTTGGAACTGCACGGAAAACCCGATAGGCCCCTCTTGCTTCTGTTGTCTTAAGTGGAGATCTGCAAGGATTGTAATGCATTTTCGCTCAACAGGGAATGCTTGACAAAAGCTTGGATCGAATCTTTGGACAGCCCGGTTTAGTTAATATCGGTGGAGCCAGGGCTGATTTCAGACTTACGGAGCCCCAATGTTCAATAAGATCACGCAGCTTGACCCGAGGTACAAGCCCTTCAACAACAGCTACATGGCGCGCCTTGTCCAGCCCAAGTACTTGCGCTTCAGAGACTGGCGCTTGCACGTCATAGAGGCCTGGACTTTGTTTTTATCCCGGAAAACGGAAGTGGAGTTGCGGCGCTAGGCGTTTCGAACACGATGACACATGTGCACCGACAGAAAGTTGGACGAAGGGTAACATGGAGTCCTTGGATATCATGGTTTGGGTTACTTAAATATAGCATTTTGGACCAACTTATGTTAAGCTTCCTCCTTGTGCAATGAAGATTGAAGGGAACATCTAAGCTCATCTAAGTAACCCAATATTACAGTCAACATGGGATGATGTGGGTGGTTTGAGATGTGCTTTAGGGTTACCGGACACGTGCTTAGGAGTTACCAGGGCAGGGAAAGTTATACACTAGTATGTTTTTTTTGTTCTTCTGCTTTTTAGATAGTCGTCTCCGACCCCTAGGAGCCGTGGACTCTTGCTTTCACATGTCCTGTAGCACAAGGCCTTGCGCCTTCCAAGGATTTTCCGTCCCCAGCCAGTGCAACCATTGGCTTGGCCGGATTCTGCGCTCATGGCATGTTGAATTCGCCCCATGCAAATTCTTCTTCGGCTGACCGCACCAGCCATCCTAGCTTTGCGTCCTCGCCACGGAGCTTTTCTTGTGTGTTCCCACTGGCTGGCCCGTTTAGGCGGTGCTTGTGCACCGCCTTCTTCACGAAGTAAGGCCCCCCATTGTGGCAGCTGTGGTTGACTGATTGTTTTTATGATTTCCCCCCCTCTGGCTTGGTGTCGTAGGCAACAGCACAATCCACATGCAAGATCGTTTTGTCCTTGATGTGCTTCCTGGCCAGCTGCTTCCATCAGCGGAGGAGGCACTGCCCAGCCCTTTGCACGTCTCGCAAGCGCTGCTCTTTCACTCAGAGTCTTTCGGCTCACTTCGTCGATCGTTTCCTTCTTCACACTGCTGCCCCTGGTCCCCAAGTTTCCCTCAGAAAGTCCAGAGTTCAGCGGATAGCGTTTGCTGCGCTTGCGAGACCTGCGAGCCTGAAGAGTTGTACTGGGAGAACATGGACTACAGCTGGGTGCCGGGACCACAAGCGCGTGCCTGGAGCGAGTGTGCAAGACACCACGTGGGCACTCGGGCAAGTGTCAAAATAGGGGGTGTAAAACGAGCTCGGCATGACGTTGCTTGTGTCAGATGTTTGAACTATTGTAAAGCCAGATGTGCTGAACGGGCGGGAGGTACGGCTTTGTTCTCATGTTGTTGTTCTTGTTTTCCGGAATGTATGCGCAAGAGAAAAACTGTATCGACAGGGGGCCATAGTTCAGATTGAGTCGCAGCATGGAGTCCATGGAGTCTTGCTTGGTGTTTAGCCTAAGTCGAAAGGAGAGTGTACGTTACATAGTTGGCCATGCTTCAGCCACTCCCTCATATCCCACTGAAATCACAATGGTGAAATGACCTGCTTGAAACTGGTTGAACATCTCAGTACTAAGTAGACATGCCTAGCTTGCACCTTTGGCGCAACTTGGGAGGCATCCCTGGACTCCCCCTGGCCATCATGGTGATCATCCTCCTTTTGATGCAGTATTTGTGTCCCTGAAAAGTATACCAGATTGATCAGAGTACGAATATGGAATTCATAGCACCATAAGTCATGGCATGTTTTTCGTGGATGCCAAATGGCATTTATCTCTCTGCGGGGCTTTCCGCGCGAGGTAAGGGCTGCCTAGATCTGAGCGGCAAGCCGAGCCTGAGGCTGCACAAAGCCAGGAAGTTCATGACCCTTACGGCACGGCGTCCAAGAGATCCAAGCGATTCCACCAAGTTCCACCGAGTGGGGGAAAAACCAGCTCTCCAGGATTAAGATTGGGGAGGAAGGAGGTAGAAGCATCACCGTGTAGCATCACCGTTTAGCCGCTACGAAAGGCCAAGAGGACCCATGCTTAGGGGGCAGTGCTTTGGGGGTGTAAACCTCAGGCGAAAGGTGCGGGTTTGGAAATGGTATTGCGGCACTCGGCGTCCATTGCAGTTGACAATTTCGCCGCTCCCGCCTAGAAGGTGAACATGCAGTGTGTCCTGAGATCGGAATCGGACGCGTAAGATGGCTTTTCGGTTTCCTGTTTGTTGGACTGAAAAGACGTAAGGAGGCCCATATTTAGCGCGCAGCGACAAGGAGCCCACTTTGAAGTCTCTGTGTGTGTGTGTACGTGCGTGTTGCAGGGCCCCTTTTACTTACCCTGCGTATGCAGTCCTTAATGTCGGGTAGCGATCAGGAAATCGGGAGGCAATTCAAAAAAGTTTCCCAAAGGTATTCTCCACCCTAAAAAGACAAAGGGGAGGGCATACAGAAACGTTGTTGTTTGTGGAAAGCCTATTTGAGTAGGCCTATCTCTGACCCCCAATTTGTTTTTTGGTTTTCCCTATTGACCACCCCAAATTGTTTGGGGTGGGGGCCCTTTACTTTTCCGTTGGATTAGTCCTTTGTTGAACATCCCTTCAAACTAAACCGAGTTTCTCTTTGGGGTGATGCTAGCCTGTAAGGCATGGCGTGCCAAGAGCTTGCAGGGCCCATGCGATCAAGCTGAAGAGCTGCACTTTTGAGAATCTACGCAGTTATTGCTTTGAGGAGGTTCAAAGGATTTTCAGGGACTCTCATATTCAATTTGGATCCGCAGAAATCCCAACGAGCTGGAGATCAAAGGAGCTCGGTGAAGAACGTCTTCTGCTTGGGGTTCCGTACCTTGAATGATTGTCTAGTTGCCCGGCAACACACTTGTTTATCTGTTCTTTCTTTGGGGGCGGGTCAACCAAAACAGAAGCTGCCCTTTTTTCCAGGGTTCCCTTCCCCTTTGGGTTGGTTTATGCATGACCTGTGGATTGCCAGCTGAAAGTAAGTTTCTTCTTGGAGTGATGGTGAAAGAGGAACCATAGGGAACCCCGCCGCTGCCCAAGGAAGTCCACTCCAGTGAGTTGTGGCCAGACGGCAGGTCTCCTTCTTGATCGTGGTGCTCTGTATCTTCATTTTGACCTTCCTTAGGCGGGAGCCGCTGTCAGCCCATTGCAGCGTTGCCACCCAAAACGAGTAGCTGGAGGTTTGCGGGAAATTGGGGGTGCCACTGTTTGAGCCCAAGTTGGAATTGACTTGGAAGCAATAATATTTTACATGTATGTTCCCGGGTCTCCTATTTCAGTGGCCCCCCACCTCCCCCGCACCTGCTCACCCTGTGAGCAGGTGGGGAAGGGGCGGTCCCCAAATTCTTTCCAATTAGCCTTAAGGAAACCATCCTAAACTCGGCATTATTTGTTTGCTTGTTTGCTTGCGTGCTTTTTTGTTTGTGTTGTTTGTTTGTGAGCTTGCTTGTTTGTTTTGTTTGTTCGCTTGCTTGATTGTTAGTTTGTTTGTTTGTTCCCCACATCTTTGTGTGGGGGTTCTTACTTTTACCGCTGCGCGCCCGCCGTCCGCCGTCCGCCGTTCGCCGTCCGCCCGCCCCGCCGCCCACCGTCCGTCGTCCACCACTCACTCTCTCTCTCTCTCCCTCTCACTCACTCACTCACTCACTCACTCACTCACTCACTCACTCACTCACTCAGTCTCACTCACTCACTCACTCACTCACTCACTCACTCACTCACTCACTCACTCACTCACTCACTCACTCACTCACTCACTCACTCACTCACTCACTCACTCACTCACTCACTCACTCACTCACTCACTCACTCACTCACTCACTCACTCACTCACTCACTCACTCACTCACTCACTCACTCACTCACTCACTCACTCACTCACTCACTCACTCACTCACTCACTCACTCACTCACTCACTCACTCACTCACTCACTCACTCACTCACTCACTCACTCACTCACTCACTCACTCACTCACTCACTCACTCACTCACTCACTCACTCACTCACTCACTCACTCACTCACTCACTCACTCACTCACTCACTCACTCACTCACTCACTCACTCACTCACTCACTCACTCACTCACTCACTCACTCACTCACTCACTCACTCACTCACTCACTCACTCAGTGTGTTTGTGTGGCCGGGGCAGCATTTGGCAGCTGTCTAAAGGGACAGGATGTTGTCGTGCGCGCGGCTCGGGGCGCGCGAATTCTTCGGCAGTTTCTCCAGAGTGTCGCCATTACAGTGCATGCTGGCTTGCGAGGTGCTGGTCAGATTGAAGCGATTCAAGTTGCGAGGGGCGATGGAAGCATAGCCATGTCTCATGTTTTCTCTTCGCTTGATGACTGGACAGCGTTGTTGCTGTCTGACGCGATTAGCGGCTTGGGAGCGTAGAGGCCAGCGCTAGTATGCCTCATGTCTGTTTGCTTTCAAGGCCGTTTGCTTTTGACATTTGCTAGCTTGCAGTCACAAGGCCTACAAGACTCGGGCTCCAACCCCGCCGCCCACTCACTCACACACACACACACACACTCACCCACTCACGAGTTTCTGAATAAGCATAGACATGTGGAGTTATCCGGTCCTTTAATTTGTTTGTTTGTTTGCAATGCTTTGTTTTGTTATGTTATGTTACGTTGTTTTATGTGATGTTATGTTTTGTACGTATGTAACGTATGCAATCTATGTAATATGTATGTAGGTAATGTATGCATGTATTTGTTTGTTTGTATTGTAGTGGGGAACTTCAGGAGACTGAATGGCATGGCTTGCCACTTGCCGTGAGCGGCCAAGCGAAGCCTTAGTTATATAAGGAGCCTGTGTTGGTATCATAAGGGACCATTTCCCACAGCCCCGCAACTTTGCATTTTTTAGCTGTTGACTCTGTTGCCACTTGAGGATCCTTTAGGAAAGTACCAGGATCTGAACCTTTAGCCCTGTTTGGGAGTTCTCGAAATGGCGGACCTCTTGTGAAGCAAAAAACCCTTGCAATTTATTGCACGGGTTGGGTTGGTGGAAGTCACACGCATGCGGTTCCCCGCGTTGGCGGTATTATGCTCGCCTTTGAAGGGAAGCGTTGAGAGTTTGCCTGAAATGAATCAGAGGTTGAACTTACAGAACCTGTCCGAGTGTCCACCACAGGTAGCAGCATATTTTGAGCGTGGCTTGCAACCAGTGTCTCTCTTGGCATGTGGATGCATTTGGAGCTGTGTGTAAAGGCCTAAGGGGATCCACCAAAATGATTAGCTTGCTGCTGGTTTTCATTTCAAGACAAACCCAAAACTATCTCCCGGTTTCGACTTAGCAAACTCACATGTGGTATGTGCTTGAATCCAAATGACCAAAACTCAGCTGTATTTCTGGGAGATATAGCCAAAATCAGGGGAGATTCGCCGCGCCCACATTGGAAAGATAATATTGGCCATGTAGTTGCATGATGGTGGGACATATTGAAGCAGGTTTATGGTTTATAGTTGACCAACACACCATACACTACCAACAAAGGCCAGCGATCGGGTTACTAGCTGCTTGCAATATTTGAAACATGTTTCCCCATTCAGTCAACCCATCGTTCTTTTGAAACTCGAGCCATATATTCTGGTTTTGATGTCCGGCCCGTTTTCGACAATGAATTGCTTCGCGGGCCCCTGAAAGCCCTTTGGTTGCGCACGCTGACTCGCAGCTACGTTGCTACCCTCAACAAGGATACATCCATGTATGGATCCTTGACACCTAGTTTTGGGGTCAATCAATTGAACGTTATGCGGGGGGAACAACGCGCTTAGCCCAAGGCCCTACCAAGAAGCTAGCAATAGGGTGGCCTTGGGAGAGGCGTAATTACGTTGCTCGAGTTTGCCTGAAATTTAGGGACCCAAAGTTTCCTTTTAGGAGCTTTGCAAGACACCAACACAAAGACTAACAAACCAAAGAAGACCAACCAAACTGACGAACAACCGAAGCAAGCAAAACAGGATTCCCAAAAAGACAGGTCATCGCAGTCGGCTGTGGACACCAGCTCTCGGCCGCACGACCTGCTTGAAGCTCAGACGGGTTGCGTAACGTGGCGTGAATGTGTCGAAATAGGATTTGGAGCCCAATGGCCCAATGGAGGCTTTCCAACTGATTTTCGATTTCACTGGTGAACATGTCCAGTCTGTGAGGTTGATTCCTCCCAGGTCTTTGCAGGTGTCTTCGACAACCAACGAAGTACTAAGGCAACCCTGATCATGACTCACGGCTTCGGAGTTTTGACCATGGTTATCAGGTTAGGTCAGTTTCCAGTAGTCTATGATCCATGTGGGAGGGGCATAAACAAAACACGAAGCAGTTTTATGTCCATTTGGTTTGCCTTTGTCCTTTGAACCAATCCAAAATGGGTCCTCCAAAAAAAACGGGACACCCACAAAACTCCCAACCCACAGCTTGGTTGCTTGGCGCTCCGCTTGCAAACTCCGCTGTCCACGTCTCCAAACCATGGCTCAGGTTCCCTGAGTTAGACCCACCGTTTCTTTGCCCACTGCTGACCCTTTTTCCATTCTTTTTTTGTGGGGAGGTTGGGTTCCGATCCCTTTTTGCACTCGACCAACCAAAAACAGGTGCCGATTCTTGTTTTCTTCCCATGGCGACTGGGCATCTGAGCCACCGTTTCTTTGCCGAATGGACAGCCCAACGTTTCTTTGCATTGCTTTCCTTTTGGAACCCCTGCAAATGGACGGCTTGGATTTCCTTGAATATAGAAAGGCCTCCCCCCAATTCACATGTGTGGTTGTGTCTCAGTTTCGTGTTGTGGCAGCCTTCCTGTGCCATGAAGCTACATGTTCACCTTGCCAGTGGAGATGGTCTCTCTGTAGAAGTCTCACCGGCTACGAACATCACTGAGCTGAAGGCTGCAGCGCAGAAGCATTTCCAGCGCCCCTTGAAGCTCAGTGCGGAAGGTCGGCAGCTGGATTTGACGGCCACATTGAGTGAGGCTGGATTGCGAGATGGGGATGTGGTGACTGCGGTTGTGCAGCTTGGCAAACTGGCTGCCACTGATAACGCGTTCGCTTCGCATGGCTCCGGGGGCGAGGTTGTGACCTGGGGTGGTCGAAAGAATGGTGCAGACAGCAGCCAGGTGGGAGAGCAGCTGAGGAACGTGCAGCACATCCAAACAACACGCAGTGCTTTTGCTGCCATCCTTGAATCTGGGGCTGTTGTGACCTGGAGTCATCCACAAAGCGGCGGAGACAGCAGTCAGGTGCAAAAGGAGCTGAGGAATGTCCGCCACATCCAATCAACTAACAGTGCTTTTGCTGCCATTCTTGAATCTGGGGCTGTAGTGACCTGGGGTGCTCCAAATTCTGGCAGGGACAGCAGCCAGGTGCAAGAGCAGCTGAGGAACGTCAAGGGCATCCAAGCAACTGCCTGTGCTTTTGCTGCCATTCTTGATTCTGGGGCTGTGGTGACCTGGGGTGTACCAGATTTCGGCGGAGACAGCAGCCAGGTGCAAGAGCAGCTGAGGAACTTGCAGCACATCCAAGCAACTCGGGATGCGTTTGCTGCCATTCTTGATTCTGGGGCTGTTGTGACCTGGGGCGATCCATGCTATGGCGGAGACAGCAGCCAGGTGCAAGAGCTGCCGAGCCTTTTTTTTGTTCTGCAAGATGTGCCCGGCCAAAATTACCCCCCGCAAACCTGCGCAACATCGACGCCAACACCAGCAAAATCGTCCGAACTGGCGGTCAACTCTACTGTTTTTGCATTGTGGACTTCATAACAGAAAAGGATTTGCGCTTTTACCCCCTCCCCTAGTATTTGCTCGTGCGCCAACTGCCAACATGCACTGACAGACTTGCTGATGGTGCTTGTTAGTTTTCAGCAGCAGTTTCCCGAGCGTCACCTTCTTCCATAGTAGTTTGGCAACACACCCGTAAACACCGTAGAACAACAAGTATTTCTCGCAGGAAATGCGGACCAACCAGAAGGGTCTTTTTGCCGCCGGGAAACTAAAAAGGAAAGTGCATCTCGAGAGCCGAGGCTTTGGCTCCGCTGGCAAGAACGAAAAGGGGGGGAGTTCTGCGTCCCCCATTGGAGCGTTTCTGGTTTGAGTGACAAGGGAAGCATCTGTCTAGGCATTCACCCAAGTCTGCCACGAATCCAAACACCCAAAAACGAAGTATGTCTGTATCAACGGCCTATGTCAAAGGGAAAAGCAACCGGCAAGAACAAAGAGTCCTCCAAACCCCAAAATGGGGGGCACCCCCAATCAAACACACTAAATTCTGGCAATTGTCCTTCAGTTGTGTTTTGGTTGAACAACAGACTTTATTTAATTCGCAATTGGCAACTGGACGAGGTGGCTCTTCGAGTTGGCGGAAAGGGCCCGCGGTGTGGACAGCGGTCCTCCCGGCCCATCGCCGGGGCCCCTGGCCAGACCCTTTCGAGTACTCGAAAGATGTCCATGTGTGGGTTTCTTATTGACCTTCATGGCAGCTTTAAGAAAGACATCACCCATGTGGTGGGTTTCCTTTTGGTTTCCCCTTAAGGGTGACAAAGGTACCCTGAGAAAGAGCAAACGCTTCCATCGGCAATTGATTTGGCGCATATTCCTTGCCGATCACCGATTTGGGAAACCAACGAGCGATTGTAGCTATGAAGGTCCTTAAATTTAATGCGGCGGAATTGTGGTAGTTTGACCAGATACGGCGGTTCAGACGAAACTTGGGCAGCGAGACGAGGCCATGCATGGAGTTTTGCCAGCTCGACCTCTACTTCGATGACAGATGCCATGATCCTCCCCGCACTGGGAGCGAAGGGCGGGTTGGGCGGAGGGCACCAATTGTCCGATGGCTGTAAATTTGGATGAGTAACACTTCCCGTAAAATAGTGGGCGGCCATACATGGAAATGATCTCCACCGAAGAGTACCCAATTAAGCTTCACAGTCCGCGCATGCGTTTTTCTCTTTTTCGATTTGATTTCTTTTCAAGAGCAGCCAACAAAACAAACGCTGGTTGTCCCTGTGCATGTTTTGGAGCTTGGAACTGCCAAGTAATACATGTTTCTTTTTCTCCATCTCGCTCTCTCTATATCTCTCCTCTCTTTTCTCTCTCTCTCTCTCTCTGTGTTCTCTCTCTTCCCTCTCTCTTTTTTTTCTTTCTTGAATTGCCCAATATTCAAGTCGTGCTTCTACTATGGCCCTGGTTTAGCATAAACACGGCCTTCTTAATGTTCATAAAACGAATATTAATAATAATATGAATAATAATACTAATGATTATAGCGATTCATATTCTCAAACAAAATGACTTTGGGGAACTCTCGCGAGAGCTTACCAGAATAGCCATCTGAGCGGCTGCCCCAAACTCGTTTTCCAGCCGAAAATAAAGTTTGGGGAGTCTGGCGCAAGCTGACCAGAATAGCCTTTTGAGCGGCTGCCCCAAACTTGTTTTCCAGCCGATGAAAATAACTTTGGGAAAGTCACCAGAATAGCCTTTTGAGCGGCTGCCCCAAACTCGTTTTCCAGCCGATGAACATAACTTTTAGGAATTCGCATCTGAGCAACTGCCCCAAACTCGTTTTCCAGCCGATGAACATGTTTTGGGGAGTTCTCAAGCGGGCGCAACCTATTGTTTGCCTGCTGGGCGCAGTCATTTGAGGGATGCCCCCAAACTCGTTTTCCAGCCGATGCCCCAAGATGATTTTCATCGGCTAGAAACCGAGCTGGAGGGCATGCTTTAAAAGCTGCCCCAGCAGGCAATCAAATAGGCCGAAGTCTCAGAGGAGCATTCGCGCACGCAGACACGCAGAAAAGCTCCACTCCTGAGCCGCGAAAGCGTAAGGGCGAGCGAAAGGGATCCTGGTGCTAGCAGTGGCAACCGAGTAAAGATCAACCCCTATACATAAATATATATATATATATATATATGTATATTATATGTCATATATATATGCATATAGATGTATATGTACAATATATACATATATATATATATATACATGCACACATGTGACATGCGAACCATAGTTGCCCAACAGGGAATATCATGTTGTATATATATATATATATAAGCCGTTTCATTGTGGCAAAGTTCGTTCACCTTTCCCTTGATTCGTTGTTTGGATTAGTGTGTTGGGGAGTGCATCCCCCAATTCCTTCTGCACCCTCTAACCTCGAAACCCGAAACCACCAACCCAATCCACCCTAGGGCGACCTGGGCCCACAAAGTTGGAAGCAGAAGAAAACACACTTGTTCAGCTCTACAAGGCTTGCCAAGTTTGATCGGTAACATCTGACAAAAATAGATAGGAGAGATGCGTCGTGACCGTTGCGTAGTGAAACATGACTCGGCCACGGGAGTCAAATTCAAGCCTAATAGCACCCACGGATTGTCTTAAGGCGGCGGAAGCGTATCAACCCGTCATTAGCACATTGATGTTTGAACGGCCGGAACCTGAACGAAGTCAGCGGATCAGTCTTGCATTCCCTACAACACCCGGGGTTCTGCGCTCTATGAAAAACCAGGGAACGTCACGTTCGGGCGCTTCATGCTTCATCCGCGTCGTCCAAGTGGGGCAGCGAGAGCCATTGGACAGGACAGAGGAGTACATGCAGACCATTTATGACACCGCGCAGATTTGGACCGTTGGATCCTCAATGTCCAAAGCTTTCAGGGTCCTAGTTTGGAGGATTCCGGACTGCAAACCAGTCCGGCAAACAACGGAAAGCGCCTGCCACGGCATGCGATGGCTTTCCCTTGTTTTCCTTGCTTTCCCTTGCCTTCCTTCGCTTGACCTTGCTTTTTCCCTTGCGTTGCCTTGCTTTCCCTTGCTTTCCCTTTCCGTTGCTTTTCCATTTCCTTGCTTTCCCTTGCTGTCCCTTGCTTTCCTTTGCCTTGCTTTGCCTTGCTTTGCCCGTGCTTTAGCTTGCTTTGCCTTGCTGTCCCTTGCTTTCCCTTGTTTTCGCTTGCTTTCCCTTGCTGTCCCTTGCTTTGCCCGTGCTTTTGCTTGCTTTGCCTTGCTGCCCCTTGCTTTACCTTGTTTTCCCTTGCTTCCCTTGCCTTGCTGTCCCTTGCTTTCACTTGTTTTCCCTTGTTTTCCCTTGTGTTCCCTTGCTGTCCCTTTCTTTCCTTTGCTTTGCCTTTCTGTGCCCGTGCTTTTGCTTGCTTCGCCTTGCTGCCTTGCTGTCTCGTGCTTTCCCTTGCTTTGCCTTGCTTTGCCCGTGCTTTTGCTTGCTTTGCCTTGCTGTCCCTTCCTTTCCCTTGTGTTCCTGTGCTTTGCGTTGCTGTGCCCATGCTTTTGCTTTCTTTGCCCTGCTATCCCTTGCTTTCACTTGTTTTCCCTTTCACTTGCTTTCCCTTGCTTTCCCTTGCCTTCCTTTGCTTTGCCTTGCTTTGCCCGTGCTTTTGCTTGCTTTGCCTTGCTGTCCCTTCCTTTCCCTTGCTTTCCCTTGCCTTCCCTGGCTGTCCCTTGCTTTCGTTTGCTTGTCCCTGCTTTCCCTTTCCCTTTCTTTCCCTTGCTTTGCCCGTGCTTTTGCTTGCTTTGCCTTGCTCTCCTTCCCTTGCTGTCCCTTGCTGTCCCTTGTGTTCCTTTGCTTTGCCTTGCTTTGCCCGTGCTTTTGCTTGCTTTGCCTTGCTCTCCCTTGTTTTCCACTGCTGTTGCTTGCCTTCCCATGCTTCCCTTTGATTGTCCTTGCTTTCCCTTTCCCTTGCTTTCCCTTGCTGTCCCTTTCTTTCCCTTGGTTTCTCTTGCTTTCCCTTGCTGTCCCTTGCGGTCCTTTGCTTTCCTTTGGTTGTGCTTGCTTTCCTTTGCGTTGCCTTGCATTCCATTGCTTTCCCTTTCCCTTGCTTTCCCTTGATTTCCCTTGCAGTCCCTTGCTTGCTGTCCCTTGCTTTCCTTTGCTTTGCCTTGCTTTGCCTGTGCTTTCGCTTGCTTTGCCTTGCTGTCCCTTGCTTTCCCTTGCTTTTTTGTTGCTGTCCCTTGCTTTCCTTTGCTTTGACTTGTTTTGCCCGTGCTGTTGCTTGCTTTCCCTTGCTGTCCATTGCTGTCCCTTGCTTTGCCTTGCTTTGCCTTGCTTTCCCTTGCCTGGCTTGCTTTCCCCTACTTTCGCTTCCTTTGCCCTTGCTTTCCCTTGGTTTTCCTTGCTTTGCCTTGCTGTCCCTTGCTGTCCCTTGCCAGCTTGACCCAAGTCAGAGCAAACCAACAACTGCACAACCCTCCTGCACTGAATCACATACAAGCAACAACCCAAACCAGCGCCCGTACTTACACACCCCGTGTCGTCTCCCTGGGACCTGCAAACCAGCCTTGCGGTGGCAGAAAGTGCTCCAAAAAATACTCCCAAAAAATGGGAGTATTTTTCCTGCGACATCCCCAGCATCGCCAACCCCCACAAAAACTTCCAAAACAAGCGACATCCCCTGCATCCCCGGCATCCCCTGCATCCCCGGCACCCCTTGTGCGCCCAAGTCCGGCGAGGCCGGAAGCAAAGTAAAATGATGTAAAACTGGCACGCTTCTTGGCCCGCGAGAGCCACAGACGAAAAGGTCAGACATGATAGGCAGCGTCGACGAAAAAGCGCGAAAAACACAGGGAAAAGCACCAAAAAACAGCCTTGCGGTGGCAGAAAGTGCTCCAAAAGATACTCCCATTTTTTGGGAGTATTTTTCGGCTGACCAGACCTGCAAATCACCCGGAACGAGGTAACCCCCCCCCCCAACACCCCCCCCCCCCCCACAACTTCGTACACTTTCTCCCAGCGCTTCAAGAAGCGCTTTCCGTCATCTCTCTGGTTTGGTTGCTCCAACCGAAAAGAGTTTGCAAGACAAAGGTCACTGGTTAGGCTGGATCTTGAACTTTTTGACGCGGAAGCAGCAACACACACTTTTGAAGCGGACGCAGACCTTGCGACGGCCCTGAAAAGGCCCTTGAAGTTTTCAGAATGTTTAGGGCCTCCGGCTCAGTCCGCCGACATTGTCCTCTCCCTTTTCTGCTGCTTCCTCTCTCTCTTTTCTCCTCCTCTGTTTCCCGCGTCTTCTCTCCCTCTCTCTCTCTCTCTCCTCCCTATCCTCCCCATCCTCCCCATCCTCCAATTCCTCTCTCTCTCTCTCTCTTTTTCTTTCTCTCTCTCTCTCTCTTTTTCTCTCTCTCTCTCTCTTTTTTTTTTTCTCTCTCTCTTTTTTTTTTTCTCTCTCTCTCCCTCCTCTCCATGTCTCTCTCTTTCTCTCCCTCCTCTCCATGTCTCTCTCTTTCTCTACCTCCTCGCTATGCCTCATTCTCGCCACCTCGCTGCCTCTCTCTCTTTCCTCTGTCTTTCCTTTCTCTTTCCTTTCTCTTGCCGCTCTCTTTCCTCTCTCTGTGTCTTTCTCTCTTTCTCTTTGTCTTTCTCTGCCTCTCTTTCTGTCTCTCTCTGTTTCTCTCTCCGTTTTTGTCTGTCTGCTGCTCTGTCTCTTTCTCGATCTCGGTCTCTTTCTCTGACTCTTCCTATGTCTCTCCCTCTTTCTCGGTCTCTGTCTCTGTCTCTCTCTGTTTGCACTGCAGCGTCATGTCCCCCCTGAGTTGCCTCGATTTCCACAGCCCCTTCATGACCCCTGAATTGTTTTCGTACTACTGGCTTTCCCCTTGATTTCCCCTTCATGTCCTTTTCATGTCTCGTCATGTTTCAAGGATGTCCTTGTCATGTCCCCTTCCATTCCTTTCAATTCCCCCTTCATGTCCCTGTCATGTTCTCGGTGTGCCCGCTTCATTTTCCATGTATGTCCCTTTCTTTCACCAGTCATTTCCCTACATCTCCCTTCGTGTCCTTTGGTGTCCTTGTCCTTTCTCACTTTTCTGTTTGCATTTTTCCCCTTCATGTCCCTTTCAGTTCCCCTTCATGTCCCTTTCAGTTCCCCTTCGTTTCTCTTTCATTCCCCTTTGCTTTCCTGCCATGTCAACTTCCCGTCCCCTGCATGTCCCTGCATTTCCCTTTATTTCCTCCCCTCATTTCCCTGCACTTCCTTGCATTTTGCCCTTTCTCCCCTGTATTTGTGCGAGAAACAAATGTTTTGTCCCACGTTTTTGCCAAACAGATGTCATAGAGTTTTCCAGATTTTCGGCCAAAGGAGGGTTTCGAGCCTGGGACCCCTGTTTTGCGACACCGGTCCCCGAAGTTTATTTTTAGTGGAACATCATCAGATTACCACGCGGTACCCCCCCCCCCCCCGGTCAGGCGCGGGGGGGGGGCGGGTAAGGGGGGGGTCATCCTCTATCCTCTCTTAAGTATCCAACACGCATCTGCAATGTCGGCGGATAGTAATGGTCATCGTTCCAACATTTTTTGTTGGCAGGATCCAGCATGGCAGTTTCATGGGCACTGAATGGGGTCCTTCACGGCCATTTCGGGCAAATAGTGACTGTCACTGGGCTGCCTTTTTTTGAGAAGGGATTTCAGGGTAGACTGAATATGAAGCATCTGAAAAACAACTGAGAAGATTGGGTATCTCTGGACCTCTTGGAACCCTTGGAACGCTTGAAACCTTTGGACCTGAGCTCCGAACAGAAAAAGCTTTCGGCTGGCGTCTTCGCAGGCTGCTTTAGCCCCTTGAACTGGGCAGGATGTGTTGCAGGGTGACTTTCCTGAATTTCGGCTGTTGGTGTCCAACCTGAAAGGGTCCCCAGCCACAAGCTACAAATCCACAGACCGTGCACTAAGGCGGGCTCACCATTTACTCCGTGCTTCCGGCGGATTGGAGACGCATTCCACTTGGTTCCCTTTGTGGGTGCGCCCTTTTTGATGGAAATCAAAGGAAAGGGACACATTTTGCAGGGGTCCCCTTAAACAAGTCGCACCGACATTTCTCCTCTTTCTTGTTTCATTCATCACCTTTGTGGCCACTTAGGGGCGCTGCCTAAAAGGCAAATTGGGCACTCCGGCCTTCTCAATTTTGGTTTGGGGTAGACCACTCAAATCACTCGTTTTGCCAGTTGTTTCAAGACGGTGATGGTCATGTCTCAGCACCTTAAGCAGATAAAAGGCAGCATGCACTGACATCGCACCTGAAGAAGAGGGCATGGTCAGCTGAGCTAAGCATCTCATGATCCGCACATGGTTAAAAGGAGATCCCTATGTTTGGGAACCATCATGGCAACCGTATATTTGACCGTGGCACATGTGGATAGCAGCTGAATGTGTACGTTCATATATGAACCCATTGCAATTTTGGGCACGTTGGTGGCTTGTTTCTCATGATCAACCCCAAATGAACGATTACCCAGATAGAAGGGGTCATATATGAGTGTGTCTAACAATGGTGGACGTTGGCAAGGGAACCAAAACGCAAACTAACCCCTGCAGACCATTCTTCTGAGAAACCTGCGCATGGCTGAAACATGTAAATGACACAACGGGGAGCCACCTCCAAAGTGGTTCGACATGAATCTCCATCAACAGGATGTCCACCATGTCGGGTCACCAATAAAAACTCAGACCTTTGACTTGCGGCCAGGCACTTGTTGCAGGACGACACGAAAGACTGCAGCGCCAACGCTCCCCCGGCAAGCGTGTACCGGCACCTTGGATTAGAATTCGTTTCGCATTCCTCTTACAGAACAACATGGATCCTTTCTGTACAAGGGCTCCCCTTTGTGGCTTCTTTGTAAGGATGAGGATTGGTGCCTCCAGTTCTGTTGGAGAGATTCTAGGTGTTTTAAATTTCTTTCCGGGTGTGGTATCCCTTGGTTGGAGCCTGAGAAATCAGCACGGACCTGCCAACAATTGTTTTGCCTGCACGATTGCTGGCTCTGCCAATAGATTTATGATGTGTTCATGTCCAAAAACGGAAAGTTCCTGAACAAACACAGGCTTTTTTATGTGCCGGCTTTTGCCAAAAAGCTCTCTCTAAAAGAACAGAAAGTCATGTGTCAAGACAAGCAACTGTGCAATCAGCTGTCAGGGTTGTCCAAGTCAATGTTTTCCTGGTCAGAGCAGGACTGGACAAGCCTCATTGTAGACACCGCCCAACAAACATGTCTCGGATGACCCCACCTGCAGCCATGGCCCCACCAGCCATCAAGGCATTGGGTGCCTTCAGTTCTTCTAGAGAGTGCTTTTGGAACAAACGCCGCCACGCAAAAACACAACTGCATTGTTCTTCAGGAGCATTCCCCTTTTTGGGCAAGGACACATATGAACCTATTGCAGGGCCGGTGAATCGTGCAGACAGGAAGATTGGTGGCGGCGTCGGGGGGGGGTTCTTTCTCCCCCTTTATACGGGAGATTAGTTTTTAGGAAGCTCTTTTTGTTGTGTCACAGACTTGGTCATTTCCCACGACCCTGTTTTGGAAGATCGAAGGATCCAGTCAGCGAAGCCGATGCATGTCTTTAGATTGTTTGCAAAGCTTTTGATTATTTCCACGCTGGAAGTTGGTGCCTCAGGTCGCGCAAAATAGTTTAAACAACCAGGCCTTGATCCTTGTGAAAGGTAAGCCAGTTTGGAGGTTGTCTAAACATGTGGGTGTGAATTTTGGTTGGGGCATCATTTAGGCGGGGACTTGCTTCCATTAACCACTTTTCAAGGGCTCCCCCATGAACAATTGCCATGTTTGACCCCTGAGGTCCCCTTCCTGCACTCAGAATGTCTCGGCGCCCTTGATCTACCGGTTCCAGCAATCGAAAGGCGCAGGGCCCTTAGACGCAAGTCTGGCGGATTGTTCACAAAGGCTGGACTGAGGGCAAGAAGTGGCAACAAGCACGCAAGCCTTCCGTCCAAATTGAATCAAGAACTCAACCAAGCTTTGGAATTGAGATGAATTTCATGTTGTTGTATTTATTGGTGTCTTAATTGTTTGTTTACTTGTCATGGCAGCCCAGCATGCGATCGCATTTGAGTTTCCGAGCCCTCCGCAAGTGATAACTACTCTAATAACCAGGCCTCCGACCCTGAGCACGCGCGCTGCATTAGCGGAAAATGCGTGAAAATGCGAGCTCGTCCGTTAATTGGTGTTTGGGTTGCGTCCTGGGACAGGTCCGGGGGCTGGCCCTGGATCCGGCCATTACGCAGGGCCTGGCGCCGGTGCTGCTGCTCGGGGTGCGGTGATGGCTTTCTTGCAAGATTGACGGAGTGCCGTTTTGGGTGGTGGGCGCATTTTTTGCGAGATTGACGCAGGGTGCTAGGATTCTGTTTCGGGGCGGGATTGACGGCAGGGTGCTAGGGGGCATGCAGCTGTTTTGGGGTGCTATTTGGGGTGCTGACGGCATGGTGGTGCTGGGGGGCAAGTGCTGATTGGGGCGCAGCGGACGGCACGGGCGAGATTGACGGCGCTGTTTGGGGTGCTGGCAGGTGCTGCACGGGGGCGCTGCTCGGCCTGAGGTGGTGGTGACGGCACGGGCGCATATTTATTCCTCAGATAGCTGAAAGCTATAAAGGGGGTTCTGACTTCTAAAGAGTTTGAGAGACCAGGCCAGTGGTGCAGGGTACGCTGAAGTGTTGTGGTTGCTGGCGATGCCTGTTTGCCGCTCTTTGCCGACATAGCTGCTGTTTGGCTTGGTTTGCGATGCAGCCTGTGCTGTTCTGTTTGGTCCGTGAGTCAGGGTGTCGTGGGTGCTGGTCGGGCGCTGCTGTTTAGTGTGTTCAAGGTGCTGGTCAGGGTGCTGCTTTTGGAGTGGCTGTTGCTGGTGGAGGTGTGCTCAGGGTGGTGTCGCGATTGCCGCTGGTGCTTGTTTGGCGACGCAGTCAGGTTGCTGTTTTGGGTGCCGTT